AAACAGCGAATTCATGAAAGCTATCAGCCGTTATTAATTTGGAAATAAATAACTCGGAGCGAAATGGGCCACAATTGAACATATTCGGCTAATGCAAATTTGGGTTCATTGGCAACCTAATAACAATGGTATATTTCACAACGAAAGTCGTGAGGCATGCCCAAATGTACGATTATTTCGTACAACAAAAACCAGAACATTTGGGTCGACATTATTGGGATTAAAAAACAACGGAATGCGATTTGTTTGCGCCCGGGGAACAAACATAAACACAGAACGGTCAGTGGACAATTTTGTTTATTCGGGAAATTTATAAAAAGGCAGGTGAGCAGTGTAGCTCATTTCTAACAGACTATAGTTCTGTGGATAAGGAATTGCGAAGACGAAAAGTCACAGACGCGGAAATGTAAGAAAGGAAAACGTGTACACATGTCAATGAGTTGTGTTATTTAGAATTGAGTTCTATCAGTGAAGAGAAAGGAAAACTGCGCGTACTGGACGCGGTGAAGATGTCAAATGTTGATCGTGTGGAGGTGGAAAGACAAAATTGGATGAGTAGAGTTTCTTGAAAGATTTTGTGTATGGGCTGGAAAATTTGTGTTTTGAAAAAAATGGTTGAATAAAGTCCTGTCGCTACGACTAACTTCTAATTGAAAACACTGTTTGGGCGAGGGTGAGCGCGTCAAGACGGGGAGGAGTGGTTTCAGGCCTCGTCAGGTCTTCTGTCGTCCATAAAACCACGGGGCATTTGGGTCGCTGCGTGTGGGTCTGAAACTCAACCATGAGTTTGTTTAGTGAGACGGCCCAATAGATGGAAGATTTCACAGAGTCCTGCTTCTGGTTTTTCGGTTAACCGCTCCATCAGGCCATCGTAGCAACCTTAATGCTCCCGAGTCACGTTCAGGTTCTCTAACCTGTGAAACATCTCTTGTACGTCTGCTGCTACAGCTACTTTGCGTAAGCGAAAGCGCAGCAGTACTCCAATTAAGTTAGCTACGGTATTTGCTCCTAACAATAAGTGTTGGTTAAGACAAATTCCTTGATAGAGGGTTGCACGATCAAAGACTATTCTAACCTTTTCAGGTTTCTTTGGGTTTACCGCCGCATGATGTGGTAGGTAACACCTAGGCCTGTACGCGACTTCTAGTTGATAGTCAGGTAAGCGGTCGAAATAGCCCTTTCGAAAGTGGTCGTTCAATAAACTATTTTACCTATTAAATAAACTTGGATCTCGCATAAACCTGCGTTTTAGGCACTCTAACATCCAAAACACTAGTTCGTAGTTGTTCGGCACAGTCTGCGGTTTGGTTTTCCACGTTGGTCCGATACAAAATCGTTTCTCGTCATGGTGTATCGATTCCTCTGGTATTTGTAAAGCTGGACGTTCTTCCTTGGAGTGATGTATGACCATCGTATGCAGGTCTTCAAACTCCTTGTTGTATAAATCCTCCACCATGGTGCGAGTTTTACTCTCCCGATTAACTGTAAACATTTGTTTGAAAGCTGTTACTCTCAAGGACGGTCCCATAAGCAACCATCCCAACGCAGTTTCGATCGCAAAGATCTCATTTGGTCAGGCGTATCGACCAATAATCACTCAATGAGCTTGAAGAATATCACAATCAATGATTAACTGAACACTAGGATTGATCAGATGCTCCCCTTCTATACCCTTTAGGTGGGTTAATCGAGCCGTTTGTTTCTTAGCCGGTACCTGAGCTCTTGGCATTAATAGATCGTCCATGGTGTATGAAGTGCTTACCCTAATGCCTTTATCATCCCTAAGGGGCTAACTTCAAATGATACCCTTTGACTAACTATAGATCGCTCTCCAGCCACGTTGTAAACGTTCATTCGTACTCCGGGCCAATCAGCCCTAACAGTTCGAAACTTCCTTACTAACTATTCTGATAACAGAACCTATCTAGCAAGGCGTATACCTTGAACGATTTGTCGCTGTGCATCATTTTTACCGGGACTATTCCGAGGTAAGTAGTATCATTCGGCGCGGAACAGAAATCCCCCACTATTGCTTGCACATTCGCGGACACTTGATCCCTACGCGACAAGTAGAGCAGGCTATGATACTTTCCGGTCCAACCATCAACCAAGCATTTACCATTTTCTTCACATGTCCGCGCCAGGTGTCCATATTTAATGCACTTATAACAAAGCTTTAATTGCTCCAAAGTTTTCTATCTATCTACCACATCTGACCTTAGGAAACCTTCACATTTAGTAAATGGGTGTGATTTCCGACACAAAGAGCACTGAAGTTCTGTAAGGATTCTGATGTTTGTCTAGATGCAGTGACATTCATTTACGTGTTACGCCGAGGGCCTCAGAGGCGATTAACCTTTAGTGAAAGCATTGTGTTCACTAGCTTTCCAAAAGGGCTGTTCTGAATCCTCAACACTGCTTCTATCATTTCAATAGTCGATGAACCGAGACTGTCCTCCGTTGGATACGATCCTATCCTCCACTTCGGCCCACGTACATTTTAAACGTCTAGGCAGTCGTGTAACTAGTGACTCCAGCGCGGGTATGGAATTCAACTCGAATCCACATCCCATTTCCGTTAGGACCATGTAGCAGCTTTCCAATTAAATGCTAAATCTGCTCAGGCCCTCGCCTGTGCCACTAAATTCTTCAGTTTTAGCCAGAACGTCCTTGACTACAGCCGTGACTGCGTTGTGCGGTTGATCAAATAATTTATCGAGTATCTCTCTGTCCGTTTGATACCCATCTCTCTCTGACATTAGCATGCACGGTTCTATTGTCTCTCTAGCTACTCCCTTACAATAGGGTAACAAATAAGCCAGTTTTCTACCTTCCCCTCANTTCCCCTCAAGACAGTCTAGCAAAGAAGCCGTCGAACTGCCGTTTGAATCGCCAATATTCTGTAGCGTTGTAATCGAAAGAAATGAGTTCTAGCCGCGGGAGGTCTAAGCCGTGAAGGCTATAATGCCTAGGTGCAGGTAGTTCTCTCACGCTCCTACTAAACTTTATTTCGGGCACACTCTCGTGGATATGTTTCTATCCTTTCCTTGTAGCTTGACTTGGAGCACCTGGATGCTGCATCTTCTGCTTCGCTGTTGTACCCAATCTCTGCAACAGCCAGCTTAGCCTAGGCCTTGCACAGTTGTTGTCGAAAGCCGGCCTCCTCTAATCTGTTTTTATCCCTCAATAACCGTAGTTCTACTTCTGCCTTTTTCATTACAGACATCGTCTTGCGATGTGATCCTCCCAAGGATGGCGCAGCACTCGAGTCTTTAACGATGGTCGTTTCTTCACCTTCTTTCTCTCCTGAAAAGGAGAGTCTGACTGAAGTAGATTAATCAGGGTGACACGACATTAAATTCAATTTAAGAACAAAATATTGAAGACAAATAAGAGGAATGTAGAAGAGCTCACCGAAAGTAATTTGACCAAGGTTTCAAACTATAACGGCTATCCGAACAACGTTCAATACGAATCGCAATGTCTCGACTTCGAATGACCAAATTTCCAGCACGTGGGAAAACAGTTGAACGACAGTTGAAATTTCGTTTCTATTATAGGCATTTATCAAAACATATTTGCGACCTACGAAACCGTCGTAGGTCCTAGTTACAGAACGACAAACAATTGAGAAAATCACGCAGCGAGACCACAAAGATACCGGGCGGGTAATGAGGAGGCCGGTTAAAACATCTGTTGAATGTTGAGTTCATAAAAGAGAAAGAAGAGATAAGAAAAGGGAGATAATGGAATTGGAAAAGTATTATGTACAAAAGCTTTCGAAAACCGTCACAGGCAGAAACCTAGCCCGGATTTTGCCACACATCAGTCGAAGCTAGCAGTGTTACAGACCCTTGTTGTAAAATTCCAAATTTTGCACAACATTTCCCGCATGCGGAGAGAACAACTTAGTTTATTCAACGTACACAAATGGACCGTGTGTGTTCGTGGGAGAACGAGGTTTCCGTTGTATATGACGGGGGCACAAAAGGAAACAAATTGCGTAAAGGAAACAAAAAGGGACAATTTCAGTGTGCACTTTGAAACAACCAAAATTGTCCCGCGGGATGTGAGGGGCAGGAATCTGACTGAATGAATGTTGTTTAAAAATTAGATAAAATGTGCGGAGCGCAGATTAAGAGGGTCATGCGGACGGTCGAAGAACTGGAGTGTTTCTGAAGATGAAACGACCTGCAAATGAAATAACAGCAGTATTTGATAAATTAATAATAGCAACGATATTTGCACGCTGGAGAAAGATGTGTGCAGAAAGAGAGGAGAAGAGAGGAGCAAATAAGTAAAGATAAAGAAAACACCGGTCCTTGAGAGCGTGGATAAAAGAGAGAGAAAGGGAAAATAAGTGGCAAATGAACCCACATCGAGTCATCACTTTTTCTATTCATATCGACAGTAGGTTAGAGGGAAGAATGCGTCAAACACGTGGATTATAATTAGCGTAAGCATCATTTTAATGGATGAGAACTGATAAGATAAGAAAAACAAACGGACCATCAAAAAAGAGGTTAACAAAAGACAGAGAAGTGAAGTGACGACCGAATGATTGAATCCAAACCGAAATGGTAAACATATGAGAGGGAGTGAGTTTGTTGTCGGATCACGCAGTGGAATGCTAGACATCTGTTTCGTTGGAATGAGTCCCATAAAACACAGCCAGTGTTCAGGTGAATCTTGAGTGAAACGAGCGTGTCCGAGAAAGAAGTCAGCCGGATCCCGCAGCTTTACACTTCTTGGTCAGCTTTCGCGAACGAGTGGAAATAACGGAGAAGAAGAGATCAACATTCGCTTAGACGCTGACGCATCTGTTCCACGTAGTAAGATCAGACCATGGACACTACAAAGTCCACAGACAAACAATCGTGACAAGCAAGCTTCCATGTTTATAGTTTTACCAGCACCTCAAATCGTCCGATATCGTGTGCGTACAGTGTCTCAATGACCGATTCCATACAAAATTTGGTGTATGGATCCCTAAGCAAAGATTAGACACCGATAAGCAATTTCTTCAGGGTAAGAACCAGACTCCAGTTGTGCTGAATGTCATCCATACCCACATCACCATGGAAACTGATATTGGGATGCAAAATACGAGGAATCGGATCACAGGTGGACGAATCGGATAACTGTCTGGAACTAAAACGTACACATAAAACAGACCCCCCTGGTACGGGAATTGGAGCGGGCCCTCGATTCCCGCCAGATAATAAGAATAGGCTTCCGTGTCCAAAGCCAGTACACGAATTCCATAAGGTGAATCGGTGCACAGATTTTTGATTTCGTGCACAATCCGACGATAGCGCAAATTTGGTGCCTCAACCGGAAATAGGATCGGGAATGGGAGCCCTTCCAGACACAAGCGGCACGGCACACTGTTCATTAAGTTTAGGTAAAGCAAGCGCCAACTGGAAACTCGATAATGCAGCTGGAATAGAGGCCAACGGAATTGGACGAATTCGGACCATTTTTATCGGGGATTTCAGCGTTGATTACCTGAATGATGCCCGGCGCAGAGCCCACAAAGAAATGTCATCCAGAAGGCGGAAAATGTGCAACGAAGTCTCGGTAGGCAGTTCATCCAGTGATGAGGCTTTGGTGGACACAGAACCCAATTTCATGGATTGAGAAGAACGAGAAGTTTCGTGGCCAAAAGCACGCTGGGAATGCACCGGCGGCGGTTCATGAGGCGGATCGTGTGTTTGCACCGGGCGTAGAAGAAAAGGGCGTGCGTTCAATCGCGTCGGTGCAGCCCGGTAACGCTGTGAAACACTGAATGAGTCTGGACGATGATAGCTGGACGAGGTGGGAAAATCCATGGTTTCAAATGCGTGGTACCAGTCGATAGAGCAAGAGAACAAATCCGAACCGCTTTCCGGCTCCTCTTCACCGCTATCGTTTGATGCTTCTTTTTCGTCTAGCAGTAAGTCCTCTGTCAATGCTGGCGGGCAGAACTCATAGAAAAATGCGTAACAAGTTGAGCATACTGGCTGTTTATTTCCGAAGTCATAGTATCCATTGCAAAACTTTCAAACCATAGGCTTGTCGTTCGAACTTTCCATGATCTATTGGTCAGGAGAAAATCATATGGATATTGATAATTTTGGTAAAAGTCAATTGTGAGGTAGGCAGACTAAACAACCGAAATTGATGAGATGAATAACACATGATTCATTCACTAATATACAGGGCAGAGAACCTTTTGAACCCTGAATTCGGGTAGGAGTGCCATTAGCTGCATTGTGGTGACTGCATATTGGCGGCGGCAGAAAATACATCTACCGATTATCCCCTTTATTGCGATTCTACGGCGTGTCATCCAAAATCTCTTCCGAATGACATTCACTATTTGGTTAGTTCCCACGTGCCCTTTTTTACTTGGAGGTGACGCATAAGCAAGGTGGTGACGTGGTCACCGGCCGGCAGAATGATCGGATGTCTAGCGTCGTGGGCGAAGGAAGATTTGACCAAATAGGATTCAGCTGACAAAAAGCGCTCTGCTGGATTGCAGTCCGTTTTGGGTTCTTCCCTGCATTCGCTTGCAACGTCATCGTTTCGAGGGGAAAATGTTGCAGTTGTATTAATCTCAAGACGTTGTGCTTCGCTTTAATTAGGTTGTCCGCCGATAAAGGTCCCACGCGCAGTGATTCGTCAGGCCGAAATCCGGTCATGATCATCACCATCTGTTTAAACCTCATCCACCAAGTGACTGAACGAATCAATCTGCTCCAAGACTGGAAGCTTCCCAGCTTCTTTATTAGGGGGGAGATGCCGTCGCGTTCCACCGTCACGATTATCCTTTTGGATTCTATCAACTAAACGGGCACGGGAGATGCAAGCACTGTACTCTCGTCCTTTGATGCGGTGGTCGGGAATATCTGGCCGCTGAGCCAATCGCTCAGCTTGACCAAGGATCTCAAGCCTCGGGAGCAGTAGTCGGCTGGGTTATCCGCAGATTTCACGTATCGCCATAGGTGCACCTTAGTCTCTTCGTGCAATACCCTCAGTCGATTGGAAAATAAGGTGCTGGACCTAGTGCTGACGTTGTTCACATAGTGTATTACACTCTCGGAGTCGTTCCAGAACGTGAAGCGATCTTCGAATATACGCAACTGCTGAGATATACGCACTGCTATCACGGCCGCGGTCAGTTCGATGTGGGGTACCGAAACGCACTTGAATGGGGCGACCCGGGCTTTGGTAAAAAGTAATTCTGTCTTGCGCTCGCCGTTCACGTGCGGCCAACATACGTAGGCTACTGCTCCGTATCTCGTTTCAGACGCGTCGGAGATTAGGTGCAGTTCGCCCTTCGCCGCTTGACTGCTCCGGCTGAGTCGGCGCGGGATCCTTATCTCACCTAGCTTGCTGAAGCTGGTGAACCATTGCTCCCAATCCGTCCGGTCCTGCTCGTCTAAGGGTTGATCCCACTCTGCCCTTTTTCGATAAAGTTGTTAAAAAAGGACCTTACCCAGCAACAGCCATGGCGCGACAAAACCAAGCGGGTCATATAAGCTGAATATCTACGACAAAAGCCCTCGCCGGTTGGGATTCCTCTTGAGTAGTTTCAGTAGAAAGATGAACTCGTCTGACTCCGCGCTCCATCGCACCCCCAATGTCGGCTCGATAGGGAGTGGCTGTGTAGTCAGGTTGAGGGCCCCGTTTGCTCTTCCAGTTTCGGGAACGTTTTCTAAGAGTAAACGTGAGTTAGACAACCATTTGGTTAAATGGAACTCCCCTTTTCCAGTAGATACTTTAGCTGCATTACGCGTTACGAAGCTTCCCTTGCATCGTCAAAGGCGCCCAGGAAGTCGTCGACGTAGAAATTATTCGCAACGCTAGCTGAAACCGAAGCCGGAAAGTCGTTTTTGTATTGCGAAGCTGTCCGCCAAAGTGCAAACTTTGCACAGAAGGGCAAAGAAATCACTCTAAATGGATGAACGGTGAGTCAGTAGTCTACTGCCGGGTTCTAGAAGTCACCATCGGGTCATCATATCATTCGCAGGGCGTTGCACTGATCCTCTGGTATCTTAATTTGGAGGAACATCTCTTGTATGTCGGCTGCCTTTTCAACTGCTCCAAGCCGGGATCAGTTGAGCACGTCAATCAGGGGAGTGGTTCAGTCTGGTCCTCGCAACAGAAAATCGTTCGCGCCGCACAGTCGAATACTACACGTATCTTCCCTGGCTTTCTGGGGTTTGCTACCGAGTGGTTAGTCCGGTACGACAGTCTTTTTCCGCGTGGTTGTGAAACGTCTAATCGTTCTGTATATCCCAGTTGAACGTTCCGTTGCATTGCCGCGGCGTATTGTCGACAGAGCTCTGTATCCCAGACCAGTCGCCTTTTAAGGTACCCTAAACGTTTTAGGGCTATCCCGTGGTTGTTCGACAGTCGGTCGTATCCCGTCCTCCATGGCAACGGCAACTCAAAATGGTCGGGCTGGCGTCGTGTCCCCGCTTCAACTGTTACTAACGCCTGGTTGTCTTCTACGGAGGGACCCCCTTTCTGAACGTTCAAGTCGTCGAACTCATTATAGTAAATTCTTTGGAGATTTTGTTCGATCGTATCGTTGCAAGCGGTGGGGGTGGTGAAGTTAACTGACAACGGTTTGCGGTTNCCCGAAAGTGATGCGAGCGGCATATTGTCCTTTCCTGCCGCCCAGTCTCTACTCCAGGACCCAGTGTTCTTCTGGCACATCACAACCTATAAACAAATGGACTTTGGGAGAGTCAGCTTCTTCAAAATATAAGTATTACAGTTATCGCCATTGCGGTGCTAATTCCCCAATCGATTCCACTGCTCGCATCGGCAAGTCGGCGATGGTGAAAGCTTCCGTCAC